CACACACACACACACACACACACACACACACACACACACACACACACGTTAAAGTGCCTGTGATATGCATCTCACTCAAATACAAAAAATCAAAGATCTTTATATTTAAGAAACTTGGCATAATACACACAGTTTTACCCATTTTTTCACAAAACTGGCAGATTTTCTTCAGAATTTGCCTCAGCCAAAGTGAAACAGGAAGTGACATCAAAGGGGAATTATGAAATGAAACTTTTTTTTACTGTAACAATATAATTTCACCTCTAACTCTTCATCTCTTTGTTATTGACTCGAAACATTCTAAAGAAACATCAGATTCTTCTCTACAGTCTGTGTTGTTGGCCTTGTAGCAACGCTCTGTTTACAAGCAGATTTTCCCCTTTGACATCACTTCCTGTTACATCACATGCAAATATCTCAACAACTGTTCATCTCAGCGGCGTGAAATTATTTTTGCAATGTGTTATCAATGTTGTCTTTCCAAAAATACATTCATATTTGTTGCAAACATTTGATGTCCCAGGTACTTTAACATCAGTCCTAAAATTTAAGGTGGATCAGTTTGTGCATGTTAAAAAAAGGTTAAACTGTTTCACATGCCTATAAATAGATACTTGAATGTGATGCAGAAATAAAAACATGGAGGGAAACGAAAAGTCACAAGCTTTATCAAATAAAATTACATCATGACTGATGATGATGATGATTATGACAGAATTGAGTTTTATTTCCAGTATTATATCTGCAGGGAGGAAGATATTTTACCAGACAGCTCAATCACAGACTCTTGATACGTTTTGCTGCTAAACTGTTAATCCACATTTTTGATCTGCTCTTGGTTTATGATGATGGTTAGGGATTAGGGATGATGGATCATCTGAGGGTCAACCAGCAAGCCAAAATGTTTTACTGCCCCCTGGTGGTTCATCCATGTATTTAATAACTGTCCCAGCTCTTTTCATCACCGTCTGAACTGAAACTGCCACAAGAGATTTAGTTGAAAAAATTGGAGCAAAAAAGAGAGTAATTACGTTAATTTTACTTTAAAAACATATTTAGGATGCAACAGTCAAGAAAAAAACCTAAACTGTCTGCAAACACTTCTCTGCAACATAAAATGTTTCCCTTTCTCATCCGTTGTTTTTTATATCTATAGATAAATACCAGAGGCGGGGATTTGAGTCTTTAATATTATGACTTTAGACTTGACTTGGACCTTTACACCAATGATTTGGGACTTGAATTGGACTTGACCCTGTTTACTTGAAAAGACTTGATATTTTCCCCAAAATCTCAAGTTTAAAACACTATTTATAAAGTAGAACTCTTTCATTMATTTCACTCATTCAGTATTAATAAAGGCAGACTGGCCATCTTTCTTCTCACTCTGTACATGCGTGTGCATGAGCTGCAGCACAGCACATCAAATTAACCAGATTTAAAAAATGGAAAATTATATTATAAAGGACTATTTTTGCAGCTAAGTTTACTTAACTTCGCAATATAAAGGGTGCAAATTTAAAATATATTTTTAAATACTTTGTAAATTCAGCTGCATGTTTCATCACAATTTGAGATAAATATTGATTTAATAAAGAGCACACGGTTTATTAGTTACATTTCAAATATAACTGCAACATTGTTAAAAAAGACTCRAAAGGACTTGAAATTCCACRTTTCAGACTTGGGACTTGACCTGACAGTTGCTCGTCTTTGTTTGAGACTTTTTAAACAATGACTTGGTCCTGATGCCTTCACCCTGGTCATGCATTTGGAGCATGTCTCTKTGTTAAAGCCAGGTGTGTACGGTGTGGATGATCTACCTGGTGAATTGGTGATGGAGGCATGGAAGCAGCTGAAGTTGATCAGAGCGTAGGAGCACAGGTAGAAGTTGGAGATGATGGGTGCGATGGTGTTCAGCTCGGCTGGCAGGAGGTAAAACAAGAGAAACTAGTCATATTTTATATGTTCAGAGCTTCATTGTTTGCCAAACTTCTGACAATTAAATTATTCAACAAGTAATAAAATATTGTCTTGATTAAAATCCAGAGATTATATTATCATTTATTTACATAATAAACTTAGATTTAAAAAAAGATGAATTCTTGCTATAATAAAATTAAACTTTTAGGATTTTTAGTTTAAAACCTACAGCTTTATTTGCTGTTGGGAAACTCAAGCTTACGCAGGAGACACATTTTCTGGTCTACAAAGAAAACATCTTAACCTGTCCTCTCATTTATTGTTTCTGGACGTTGAGTCAGTCCAGTTTGGTTTGATAAACAGATATATCTTCAAGTCTTCGAGTCTTGTTTAAAAACACACAATACCGTTGACTGCTTGTTGTCATTTCAAAATGTTTTTTAAACTCGTGTAATTTACTCTATGTTCTCAATGTGTCTGTTTTATCAGGGGATTCTGATGTTATCTGTCCATGAAATGGATGTTATTAGGCGTTATCAGTCCCATACAATGGCTTCAAAGGGTCCCTTCTGTGCCTTCTAGGCTTCAGACTGTCCCGACAGTGCCCCCTAGTGGGTTAATATATCAATGACAATGAATGTGTAAATAACCAAATGATATAGTAACAATTTTTTTGTGTCCGTGTCAGTCTCAAACCCTCCCGCTCTCTGGTCCGACACCCTGCCCATTGCCCTATTGGAAGGCCACAATATACAGTCGTTAGAGGGCGATGTCTTTAGCGCTAACCATGTCATTTGCTCTAAAGTTAACCTTGGTAGCTTTAAGCCTCATATTAACTAGGTTTTTTTTTGCCTCATATTAACCAGATAGTGGTTTTATGCCTCATATTAACCAGCTGACAATTGGCCATTCTGGGACGGGAAACCTGCTAACCGGCACAGACGGGACATTCTGAAGCCATTCTAGGGGACTGATAACGCCTAATAACGTCCATTTCATGGATGATAACATCCGAAGCGGGTGGTTTTAGTGTACAGCACTTTGGTTGGCTTTGTGCTGCTTTAAGTGCTTTATAAATAAAAGTGGTGTGGTAAGGTAAGGTAAGGTAAGGTAAGGTAAGGTAAGGTAAGGTAAGGTAAGGCAAGGCAAGGTAAGGCAAGGCATGGCAAGGCAAGGCAAGGCAAGGCAAGGCAAGGCAAGGCAAGGCAAGGCAAGGCAAGGCAAGGCAAGGCAAGGTAAGGTAAGGCTAGGTAAAGTAAGGCAAGGCAAGGCAAGGCAAGGCAAGGTAAGGCTAGGTAAGGTAAGGTAAGGTAAGGTAAGGTAAGGTAAGGTAAGGTAAGGTAAGG